TCGTTTAAACTCTGCCACCCAATATTTTACTGTTGTAAACGAAGGAACAGACTTCCCCAAAGTATAATCTAACTCCGCTTTGATATTGGTTGGACTGAGGCCTTTCAAATGAAAATATTGTATCACATAACGATGACCAATTTTTTCCATGTTTATAAATTCACTGAGAGCGTTTACTATTGATGGCTGCCAAACAAATATTAAACAACCTAGCGTCGTCAAACTTCAAACTTAAGTTTTATAAGGTTGGTACTTTCTACCATAGTCATTCTTTTCAAACAACAACCGCTATCTATATGTCAGGTCAGGTACTTCTAGGACTACCCTCGTAACTTAATAACTATTATGATTTTTGCAAAATGGTATTTGACTTTTCTTCTTACAAGGAAGCATATGGAATCGTCCCTCTCCGATTCAGATGAGCTTGAAATATGTTGTAATGTAGACTAAAATAGGGACATGTATTTTTTTATACGCGCCCAATCGCATATTTAGGGGAAACACCCCTTTGAAACATCCCTTTGAAGGAAAATTGGTTTTTTTCTTTCAGAGCATACATCGTCAAAAGTATAAGAGATTAAAAAAACTCTTTTAACAAAAATTGAATTGTTTGAAGAGTACTTTGGCGTATAATGGCGTTTTCAGTTAAAAAAAAATGCTAAAATGTTAAACATACCCCTACCACTCTCCAATATTTTTTATAATTGAAAAATTTCATTTCGACGAAATGAAAGGATTTTTTATTCCGAATTCATCCATGTATGATAAAGCCATTTTCCGACATATGGACTTTTCAAAAAATACGTGGGAACACGTCTACATACCCGTAACGCCATATGTAGTCGCCTGTTCCACGCGATACATGTATGTAATACATCTCTTCGAACTTCCGCATAAGTAAGAGACTAGAAGATAGTACTGATATGCAAATACGAGGTGTGTGAGAAAAGTAATGAGACTGACAACACTGCGAGCGATCTGGCAACGCTGTGTTGTTCTACTTATGTAGACCGGTGTGTTCATCCCTTCCAGATGCTCAGTCCGAGTTTCAGCTCCGTACAGCCATCACGTGATTTTTGAGAGCGCCATCAGTGAAGTTGTGTTTTTGTTGAGTGTTACGAAAATGGAACAGCGGAATTTAGAGCAACGTTATGCCATCAAGTTTTGTGTTAAACTTGGGGAATCCGCGAGTGTGACTTTTGAAAAGTTGAAACAGGCCTATGGGGAACATTCCTTATCAAGAGCACAAGTTTTTCGCTGGCATAAATCATTTTTGGAAGGCCGAGAACACGTTGAAGATGAACCTCACTCAGGGAGACCTTCAACTTCAAAAACCGACGAAGCATTCCTCTTGTTCCACAGCCCCCCTATTCACCTGATCTGAGTCCTTGTGACTTTTTTCTTTTCCCGAAATTGAAAAATGTCTTGAAAGGACGTCATTTTGGGACTCTGGAGAACATTCAAAAGAATGTGACCGACATGTTAAAGGCCCTACCAGTTGAAGCCTTTCAGCGCTGCTACCAAGACTGGAAACTACGACTTCGCCAGTGTATAGCTGCCGAAGGGAACTACTTTGAAGGGGACAATATTGTTGTTTGAAAAAATAAAAACTTTGGTAGATAAAAAATCAGTCTCATTATTTTTCTCACACACCTCGTATATAATCATAAACATTTCAATATATGACAACAACAATAAAATTAATTATTTTATGCACGACATAGTCATATATTCCCACACTTTGTTTTTATGAAAAGATATATATATATATACATATTTTGAAACTGAAATCTAATTTATGAGAAGTTTGCCTATTTTTGCAGTGCATGATTATAATTACTGTTGATATAATTGCTACGGCGGTAGTGATACACATAGTTGCAAGATCAGAGTTCTAAGATCACGTTTATTAAATATTCCACAGATGACATATACTAAAAATATCGCATTGATGAAATTATGCGATGCAAAACTGTACGTATGATGTCGGTCTTAACTGTAAACATGTTATATAAGTATATACGCATATCATAGACCATGTGTAAAGTGTCCAAAGTGCAGAAAAACATATTGTCAGCCGTTTATGCAATAATGAATAAGCATGATGTGGGGTGGACATATATGTTATATTTGATAATATAAAAGCTAATAGACATCACAGCGAACGTTAGTAGTTTTATACGATCCATCGTTTCGTTACATATTATTTGCGACTGCAATTTTGTAAGTATATATCGCTATGTTTAAAATTTCTCTCAATATATTGTAATATTTGAGGAATATTAATATTTCTCACATATCTCTGCTTATTTGCTTTTTGTTTAATCATTTTTTTTGTACAGAGTTGTACAACAAAATTTCTTGCTCCTTTTCATCATTTTTGTGGGAAAGCTGTGTAATACAGATCTCAAAAGATTTGAACGTAAAGCCTTATCTTTTTTCTATTGTCGCCGTCGGCCCTCACTATCGCAAAATCTCAATAGAAATGTTCAAATGATCATAACTTTGCGAAAAGAAATCATAGAGACCTCGGCGATTGTTTTCGTCTCGGAAAGCCCTTTCGAATGATCCCTCACTCAACCCCACATGCCGTTTAAGATTTTTTGGCTCTCCCCTTCCCCCCCGGGGGTGTAGGTGTTTTTGTCGTTAAATAATAGACTTTGTGATCCCATTGTATCCCTATAAATTTTAATCCTACATTTCAAACTATTCAAAAATTATTTAGATGGCCTGAAACTTTTGGTAGGTCCTGTATGTAAACAAATATCAGCTGATGTTATGTAGAAAGAGAACATGTGAAGTGCATTTATAGTAGTATCAACACTTCTCTAATGTCAACACGTAAGGAAAACGAGCATTTGTATAAGAAAGATAAGTGTGTGACTACATTTCGTACAACATGTATCAAGAAACCTGCAATGCATATCGGTAACTGTTTCAGACGTTTCCACATGTTAGAAAAATATAAGATATAAAATTTTAACATCTTGTTATAAATATGTTCCTCAATGTCTAAAGATTCATATAAACCAAATATCATTACAATAAATTACTCGGTTTCAAAACTACATTGTGTAATATGACGCGATTCCTGTTTGTACATTTTTCTATGAAAGTGCCGTCGATTTGTTTGTAGGTAACGCGCGAGATGGCTCCAAGTAAAAAAGGTTAATTTATCTTAAAATGACATTTGTATGATCTTATTTCCAGATTCTACTTTTTAATCACCTTTTCAGATTTGCTGACCCACTGTGTGATTAATAAAATATAAAGAATAAACATTTTATAATAGATACAACAGTTTTGTCTTTTTTCATATATTTTATCCAGAAGTACATAAACACAGTATGCTATTATATAATTGGGAGAATCCTCTATGATAACGTTTTGAAAAAAATGAAAAAAATGATAATATTAGGTGCGCAACTAAGTTCCCGCTGTTTTTCAAGAGATGGCTCCAGTAGTAAGTGCTGGTCGATTGTGACATAACCAAAACGTCATGAACCAAGCTTAGACATATGGTAAACAAACCGCTTTGACACATTAGTGATTTTGTTTTTGCGTCATATATTTTTGGTTGTGTGAAAATGTCTTATTTTGTGCCAAATAATCGTCATTTGCGGGAAGTGTTGCTTTTCTTCTTTCATTCGAAGAAAACGGCGGCTGAAGCGCATCGAGAACTCCAAAAAGTTTACGGAGATGCTGCTCTAAGTGAAACAACGTGCCGTGATTGGTTCCGTCGCTTCAAAGACGGTGATTTCGATGTTGACGACCGTTCGCGTGAAGGAAGGCCAAAAACCTTCGAAGACGCTGAATTGGAGGCATTGCTCGATAAGGATCCGTGCCAAACGCAAAAACAGCTTGCTTCAGCATTAGGAGTTACCCGCCAAGCTATTTCCAAGCGATTGCATGCGTTTGGAATGATTCAAAAACAAGGAACTTGGGTTCCTTATGATTTGAAGCCAAGAGACGTTGAGCGTCGTTTTTTCGCCTGTGAACAACTGCTCCAGCGGCAAAAAAGGAAGGGTTTTCTTCATCACATCGTTACGGGTGATGAGAAATGGATTCATTACAGCAACCCAAAGAGAACAAAATCATGGGGACTGCCCGGTCATGCTTCTACGTCGTCGACTCGGCCGAATATTCACGCTGCGAAGGTTTTGCTGTATATTTGGTGGGACCAGGGCGGTGTTATTTATTATGAGCTGTTGAAACCGAACGAAACCATCACTGGGGAACGGTATCGAACTCAATTGATGCGATTGAGCCGAGCACTGCGCGAAAAGCGGCCACAATACGAGCAGAGACACGAAAAAGTGATTCTACAGCATGACAACGCTCGGCCTCACGTTGCCAAACCCGTTAAAACCTACGCTCAAATGGGAAGTCCTACCCCACCCGCCATATTTCCCAGATATTGCGCCGTCCGATTATTACTTGTTCCGTTCGATGGCACATGGTCTGGCTAATCAGCAGTTTCGCTCATATGAAGACATCTCAAAATGGCTTGATTCGTGGATAGCCTCAAAAGACGAACACTTCTACCGTGACGGTATTCGAGCTCTGCCAGAAAGATGGGAAAAAGTTGTCGCTAGCGATGGGCAATATTTTGAATGATTCATTTGTAACCATTTTTTCACAATAAAGTTGCATTTTCATCAAAAAAACAGCGAGAACTTAGTTGCGCACCTAATAATAAAATAATTAATAAATTAATTAACTAATTAATAAAAATTTTAATCTCATTCTCCAATTTAACCATAGTCCAGAGCATAACTGATTTGTTACTTCATGAAAATCCAGAAGAAGCTGATTTAGAGTTAGTTTAATAAGATACTATAATTTGCGACGCGATAACATATTTAAGAATTTCGCATTTATCGTTCAACAAATAAGAACTTGATATTGCAAAAATGTTAATTAACGGCAAAGAATATAAAATGACACGATTGAAAAATGCACATACCGAATTGAAACATAATCAATTGAATATAACCTACCAAAAACGATGTATAATGTGATTCCTGCGACTCCCAGTAGGACCAATACAATAATCAGCAATGGTACGAGTGAACAGGAACATTTAGATGCCTTCAGGGGACGAGCTAAATGCAATGTCCAACCACGGCGATGCTTATCCAGACGTGCAGGATGCGGTGGCGGATCGTTTCTGACACTTCGACGTAAATTAACACGATTCTGCGAAGTTGGAGTATGTGTTCGTACAGGCAAGGAATAAGCTTTCTAAAAAAAAACGCAATAAATCTGTTACTAATATAGAACGTAAATTCATAAATAGAATATACTTCATATCCAATAAGAAATTATCTCATGAAAAAATATAAAAGAAAAGAAAAATCTTCTATATAAAAATACCCGAAATAATTTAACATAACTTAATATTTAAATATTAATGGATAGTATTTTAAAATATGTTAATATTTCAATATTAATAGTTACTTGAAAGGATACTTTGAAAGGATGTATTAAAAGATATCTTAAAAAGATATTTTAAGTGTTCAGTCGAAAATACTATAGTTAGTAGGAGAAAAATTGGATACCGTATCCATTTCTTCCACTAACCGCATATTTAATTAGAAAAACTTGGTCGAAAATATAAAAAAAGAGGGTAAGAAGCTTTAAAATTCAGCTTTTATAAGATCTTTGCATCTATATACATTTTATATATATCTTACATAAATTTTATTATCAAAGATAGAATTGGAGAAGTTATTTTTGATAAATAATTTGTTATTCGTTATCCGTTACAAAATTAACTTGTTACTTTTCCCGTTATTTATTTAAAAAGTAACCTATTATGAAAAATGGAAAAGTAATAAGAAAATTTGAAAAAAGTTAATAAAGAAATAACGATTATAGTTACTGAGAAAAAAAATAAATTGTTAATTTCCGTTAATTTTGTTTTACTACGTTTTGAAAAACTTTTTTTTCACTTCTTCCTATTCTATAATAACCTATTCTATAACGAAAAGCAATGATTATATACTATTAACTAAAAAATGTAATTGCATTGATATTACCTTTACTAATGAAAATAAATAATGTGTCAACTTGTTAGTGAAGAAAGTAATTTGTAATTTGTAACGATAACACGCGTTACAAGCAATGCATTACTTGCAAACTGCTTATCCTGATTGAGGGTAATATTTATAATGTGTAAAAGCGCACGTCACTCAGTTCTAAAATAGGTTTATTTTTTCAAATTTTGTTAATGTTATTTTTATAAAAAGGTAATACTTTTATAAAGGTATTCAACATATTTTATCTTGCTAGTCTATTATAGCGTGCTTCTGTAACTTTTACTATTCTCAATATATCGTTCATTTACGATGAAACGTCTCGCCACGAGCCTCCATGTTTACGCTGGGCTATAGATAGTATTCCACTTCCGTTCTGTTTTGTTTTTTTACGTCGGTGCAACGCCAGACGGAGACCGTTTCTTCTTCTCTCGTGACTGTCAGCTCTGATGAGTGCTGGGAAGTCGCCGACGACCAATCGGCCGCCCTAGCGAATAGCTGACTACAGTGTCGACGCATAAATTTAAGGTACGAAAACGCACTCGGTATAATTTCACCCGCGACTCGCTCGTTTTTGGTACTTTATTTAACGTCAGCTTTAATCCCTCGTTCGCTCGAGTTATATTTAATCTCTCCGTTAACCGGAGTTTCTAATATCAACCATCTACAAAACACGGATATCCGGTGATTATTTCTGGATATACATTGAATGCTCAAATATACTATTTTAAGTAATATAAATCTAAAAAATGTCCGGAAACATTCGTTAAAATTTCGAAAACGTCTTAGAAGGTTATTAGAAAGATATATTTATGATAACTTTAAAACAATTCTTATTTTGATTTAAAATATTTTTGAAACATTTTAAAATATCTTAATTCCACAATGAAATTTCCAGTTATATTGCATAAATATTGCAATATTGCAAATTGTAATACAATAATATTGCAAAGATTTTACAGAAATATGCAATTGCAATATTTTTGTCGAAATAATCCAGCAACAAGAAATAAAATAAAATATGTAAAAATAAAACATTACATCTAAAATAAACGCACGTTAGAAACAATTTATATACAGTCTATTTGATAAAAGTGTGTTCGGCAGAACTTGATAAATAATTTATTGTAATGACTTGGAATAAAATACACACATATTACTTGATTAGAGCAGTGATACTTCATTATTAATAACTTGTCCAATCTCCTACATTATCAATAATTACATGGTAACTTTTACTAATTGTCTGGCATATTCTGGAAGTAAATTTCCAGATCAATCGATAAGACAAGAATTGAAGCAGTGATCGAGGCACAGAAAAACTACATTGAATAAGAAGACTCAGGATGAATCTCTTAAGTTGAATATAAAAGCATTTCTTTGTATCTTTAATATTTTCTCTAATAAACGACTTTTCCGATAAAACATTCTTTTTTTATTTAGATTCTAGTGGTGCATCTCTATACAGAAGTTACTATAAATTAACAGTAAACGTAAAGCAGATCTGCATTCAGAAACAGACAGATCGCTGACTAATCTACCAAATATGAAGTGATTCTACCTGAAAAATCAGTTTGAACTATTTAGGCTTTAGCCGGCTTTTATACTGAAGTAATATATATATGATATTGAATTAGTTACATACTGAAATAATTACATGCAACACTTCCATTAATTGAAGTAAGAAATAATGACTGCTTCTTAGCATATAAAAGTACCGGAGTAAAATGATCGAAAAGTGAATACTTTCCGGGATATTTTATATTACATCTTGATACTTTTCAATACAAAATACGAAATATCTCAACAATTCGTTACTCAATAGGTTAATATCTTTTATGCTTAAAATACTGAGAGAAATCGATTACCATTAAAAAACAAACAAGCTTTAAACAAAATTCTATTACATTTTGCAGATTCATTAATGCACCAATATACAAAGATTATTATCGCCAAATAATTTCATTTGCTATTTTACGTATAAAAATATTAAAATAAATTATCGAAAAGTGAATTTGCTAGATATTTAATATCTTGTATTGAAAAATATCAAAATATAAAACAATTTATTAAAAATAAATGTACAATTCTTAAAAAAATTAATTTTCATATAGTTTTAGCAAAATAAAGTGAATAGCATCATCACTCGTCTTCCTTGACAAATTATATCTTTTATTGAAAACATTATTAACTATTAGATCTGTGCATGAGTTTCTAGAGTTATGTTCGAATGGCGTTGTAATCTGAATGCACAAACAAATAGACATAGCGGCCGTTTTCCAGCTATGACACGCTAAATTACACTGTGCTATACTGTGTAAAATATTTGTTGGAACGCAGTTTAGTTTCTTTGTGTAATACCAGAATGCATTACGGTTTGTCATTCTTATTTTTATGAATATCTTACGGATCTATATAATAAGAATATAATTTTAAAACAATTAAAGGAATAAGAATTTTTCAAAAAATCCATCATGCAATTATAAAAATGCAATTAATGCATTTTAAAATACCAAAAATGCAATTACATTATTGCATTGTTTACATACAAATAGTTCTGAAAGGAAGTAGAAAGAGGATGATATATGAAGAAATTTATTTAAACAAGATATGTAAATAAAAAAAGTCCTAATTATTTTTTTTATATTTATCTTCAACTTTCGTTATAAGTTCCATTATGTTTCTTGGTATAAATCAGTATAATATAAAAATATATATAACAATATATATATTGTAGTTTACGTTCACACTAATTAAATATATTTATTATTGTAAATTATATTCGTATTAAAGGAATAAAAACAGTTACCATCTGTTATATAAAATATTTCGAAATACTGGTGGCATTGATATGATTTACGTGCTGCAACTCAGACTTTTGCTGTGTAGAGCAGTGTAATACTGTGTCATTGTTGGAACATTCTGTGTTAGACACAGTGTTACACTGTGGCCTTTGTGACCCTTGCTAGAAAACGGCCAGTATATCCAGACTGCGTGTTCAAGAAGTGGGGATAGAGCTCACGTAGAAAAGGATATTCTGTTTATATACAGACATTCTGTTTTGTCTGTGCGTTCCCTCTCGTATACTCTCAATAAAAAGGGAATAGGAGAGGCTAACCTGTACAGCCGCAGCTTTTTTATTTTTTTCCGATATATTTCGATATGATCAATCTAGGTCACTGTGTACTTTAGTACACGAGGTATATATAAGTACAGCCGCTGTGCTGTCGTACAGGTTAGCAGCTGCCTCCCCTATTCCCTTTCCATCGAGAGTGTGTGAGAGAGAACGTACAGACAAAACAGAGTGCATCCTTTCTTACATGAGGTCTAACTCCATCCTTAAAATTTGGAAGAACACACAGTTTAGATATATTATGTCTATATGACGCAAACTTTTCAACTAGGTTATGTTTTACATTAGTATTGTTGGTTAACCTGAATTCGAGCTTACATAGAACAGTTCATATTTGTTTACTTAAACATATTTTTAATTTAATTGAAAATGGAGATTGAAAAAGTGCATATTTGACATTGCATGTTATATTATTTTCATCGCGGAAATATGCCACTGAAACAAGCAGAATTATTTGCGAGATTGTTATGGTGAACATATTATATTTGAAAGTACGTGCCAATCCTGGTTCTAAAGGTTTCGAAATGGAAATTTCGATGTTAGTAACAAACCTCGCTCTAGACGACCTCAAGAAATGAAAGACGAGAATTTGGAAGTTCGAAGATGCCGAAGATGCAACTCAATCGTCTATGGAACTTGCGAAATAGCTTGCCGTTAATCACATAACAATACTTCGACGCTTACATGCATTGAGAAAGATCCAGAAGGAAAAGAAGTGGACCTCACATCAACTATCGGAACCAGCAACCAACTCAACATTTGCATCTCACTGCTTACTCAACAAAAAAGAAAGAGTTTTTTTTATAGAAAATAGTAACTGGAAATGAAAAATGGATTTGTTATAATAATCTTAAACGTAAAATAGAGTGATTAGATCTATGAAAACCTTCTATTTCGACACCAAAGCATAATATTCAGGCACATAAGATTCTTCTTTGCATTTGGTAGGATCAGAAAGACGTGTTTTATTATGAACTGCTTAAACCTGATGAAGCGGTTACTACAGAGCGCTACAGGCGTCAACTGTTCCAGTTAAATGAAAAAATTCAGAAAAACGTTGTAGACAGAGAAAG